TATATATATATACACACAACCCTTGTGGACAGACAATAGCGCCCTCTCCTGTGTTTTAACGGTACGGGAGAACATTAACACAATTAAATCAGGATTCACTGTACAATATCATTGCAATGTACACCACCACACCTCGACATCACAAACTAAATTATACTAAATAGAAAACTTAAGTAAAATAATAACTGAGGAAAATAATTCCGACATATGTTTAAACAAATCTGGGACTGGGTAACTGATCATCACACGAGCACTCACTTGTGTTGTAGCTTCTCGTATGCCTTGCTTTGGTGATTGTCATGGTGCTCCTCCTCAGCCTTTGTAAAGGAAGTCATGTTAAACTCGCTCTGAATGGCAGTCTGCTCTCTCATCAGCCAGCAGTGTGGATTATGAGATTAGGGATTATTCTTTACGAAAGGGGGTCAAAATGAAAGGGGTGGTCAAAGGAAAATCGTGGTAGTCTGTATTTAAAGATTACCCCAAGGCTTTTCACGTTATTTTACAACCTTCGATTATTTCACAGATACCACTGCTGTCCCATCGTCACATATCGAGGATTATTCTTAAATTAGAATACATTTTCTGACATCTGTTCTTCAAACTAAAATTCCAACATCACTTTTATTTATTTTTTGAATAGACAACTGAAGACAATGCTTACATTAACTAAGAAAAACTCACTGGAATCAAACTTGTGACAACTAGCCCCCCTGTATTGCTTGTCAAGCAGTCCAGTTCTCAGAAGGACACTGAAATGCTAGATGCAGTGTTCTGCATGATTTGCTCAGTGGAACTCTAAAAGCTCATATTTATTCAAATAGTAAATAGAGTGTATTTTCCACCTCGTATTTTATTTATTCATAAATGTGATTTTGATATTATTGCCTTTGTACAATATTTGTCTTTTTAAAATATATTTGCACAGTAGTCAGTCAGATACGGTGACATTTAATAATATATAACACATTCATTCATTCATTCATTCTCTCATTTGTACGGTGTTTCTGTACAACCCCCTTATTTATGTGTGGAACTCTTGTACAGTGTCATTTGTGTTAGAAGGACTGTTTTAGGTGCAACACAGACCTGTCAGTGCCAAATGTTAGCCTGCAGCACCAGCTCATTGTTAAAGACAGCAGCCAGCAGTGTATCGTTTGTTCCAGGAGAGATGCCTTTATGCATAAGGAGACTTAAACTTATGTTAACCTATTGGATTAATTTAGAAGAACATAATAGTTTTGGATGGATAGGAGATATAAAAGCAGAGAATGAAGGGTTGTGTAATCTGAAATACAGCTCAACAGTTTGCTATTCAGATACCCCCAGATACTTTATTCCAGTAGGTGGCGGTAATGCACCAGTCAGTTAGGTTGCCGACCGCCAATATACACCAAAGAAGAAGAAGAAGTATTGTTTGTTCCGCATTTATCGTCAGAAAGATATTTTTAATGGAATGACAGGTCGGTATGAATTAATAAAAATAAATCGTCCTAGCATTTTATAGTTTCTAATCGATAGCTGCCGTCAATGTGACTGGAACATTCAATTGTTTTTAGTCAGAGACAGAGTTAGAAGTGTCCCATTCATTACTAGTTTCAGATCTTTCTATTTGTTGCAGCTTCAATAAATGTCGTGTAATGAAACTTTTTAATGAAGGATTTTTAATGCCTCTCTCAATTGGCCATTTTTTTTTGTTTTTGTGTTCAGATTCGAGCAAACGTGAATCGAGTGGCTTTGCAGGTAGAGTCTCACGCAGCGGATGATTTAAAGCTGAGAACATGGCAAGGTTCATGAGTAGACTATGGTGTAAGGTGGAGTCATCCGGTCGTCATCTGCCTATCGTTCTGAACGCCGTGCTGGTGTTCTCCATCACTGCCGAGGTCAGTTACCTGGTGTTGGTGGAGGCTCCCCTTGAGCCAGAACAGAAGAAGACTGAGTGGTCCACCATGTGGAAGGCCATGCATCTCTTCGCTCAGTACTTCATGTTGGGAAATATAACTTGGAATGCATCGTTGTTTGTCAAAACTAACCCAAGTATTCGAGGAGTGTTTCTTGGAGGGGATGCATTGGGTCAAGGGTGGAGGTAATTGGTTTTTTTGATTGTACAGTGTTTATTTATCACTTATTTGAGCTCTTAAATCTCTGTTTGAGCTTTTGTGCTATTTGTGAATAAAAGAAGGCTCAGTAAACCATATTTTATGACAGGTATTGTTACAACTGTGAGACACACACTCCTCCACGATGCTCACACTGCTATGACTGCAACGTGTGTGTACTGCGGCGTGATCACCACTGTGTGTTTTTTGGCCAGTGTGTCGGTTTCCACAATTACCGGTATTTCCTGACCTGTCTGCTCTTCATGTGGGCAGGGCTGCTTTATGCAGTAGTCATGAATGCTGAGGTATTCATTGTCATCCTGAAGGAGGGTGTGACATTTCACAGCATCATGCTTTTGCTTGTGCCCTGGATAATGCTCGTCTCTGGTAAGTATGAGATTTCTAATCAGAGTCTGCTCTGAGAAAATGAAATTTTCCTCCATCTTTTGAAATGAGAGTTGAGTGTGCTGTGGAAATAAAACTGTAGATTTTCTTACTCAAAACTTTCAAAATACTCAAAGGCTCAACAATAAGGATGGTCTGAGGCCATCAAAGACTGGTGACAGACAGAGTTTCAAAGACTGGTGCTTTGTTGGCTTCATATATTTCATTTGTAAAAATGTTTAATACTATATTGTGATGCCTAAATACTATCTGTAGTGTATTAAACAGAGTATTGTTGTCGAATTTAATATTCCAACATGGTAATATTATCTTGGCCAACATTTTTGATATTCTTCATTTATAAGTTGCTTGCATAAACGCATCTGCTTAATCCGTAATTGTAAATAACATAAATGAGGATATTTAAAAAATGCAAGAATGACTTTATAAACTTTGGAATTGGGAAAATGTTATTTATTTATTTAGAAATTATTTAATATTTCTATTCAGCAAGGATGCATTAAATTGATCAAAACAGTAAAGACATTTATAATATAGCAAAACATTTCTATTTTAAATAAACTGTTTTCAACATAATAATAATAATCAATCTTTTTAAGCAGCAAATTAGCATATTAGAATGATTTCTGAAGGATCATGTGACACTGAAGACTGGAGTTATGGCTACTAAAAAGTAAAAAATGTTCTACATTTTACTACAAAGTTAGCTTTGCAGTCACAGGAACAAATTAAATTTTTAACAATTTTTCAATAGAAAATTTTAATATTTAATGAAAAAGGTCTTACTGACCTCGCATTTTTAAATAGGTGCACCTACAACAAAAAATGTTAAGTTCTAAGGGCCATAAAGGTTGGGGAAAATGGTTGGGGAAAAATGTAATTATACTTAAATGTATTATATGACCCCCTTTTAAATTGTCAAACAAGTAACAATTAACATCTGTTTTTTCCCAATAACAGGACAGGTGACGGCACAAGCATTTGCCTTTGCATTCATTGCTGACACTTGTGTACTGGGCTTCCTATTGGTTGCGGCATTCCTCTTCTTTCATGTGGCTGTGATGCTGAGGGGACAGACCACACGTGAGTGGTACTCCACACGGTTTACTACATTTTTTAAAGTAAAAAATGTTCTACATTTTACTACAAAGTTAGCTTTGCAGTCACAGGAACAAATTACATTTTTAACAATTTTTCAATAGAAAATTTTAATATTTAATGAAAAAGGTCTTACTGACCTCGCATTTTTAAATAGGTGCACCTACAACAAAAAATGTTAAGTTCTAAGGGCCATAAAGGTTGGGGAAAATGGTTGGGGAAAAATGTAATTATACTTAAATGTATTATATGACCCCCTTTTAAATTGTCAAACAAGTAACAATTAACATCTGTTTTTTCCCAATAACAGGACAGGTGACGGCACAAGCATTTGCCTTTGCATTCATTGCTGACACTTGTGTACTGGGCTTCCTATTGGTTGCGGCATTCCTCTTCTTTCATGTGGCTGTGATGCTGAGGGGACAGACCACACGTGAGTGGTACTCCACACGGCAGCCTTACAACCTAGGAGCACTGGCTAACATCAGGGAATGCTTGGGCAAGTACTGGTACATCTGCTGGCTCTGTCCTTTGATACCTTCCCCACTGCCTGGAGATGGCATAAACTTCAAGGTGACAGGTTCACTAGAGCCCACGAAGTAGGGTGTGCAATGATAGATATTTTCTCATTGCAATTTTAATACATTGGCCCAGCTGATGCAGAATGGCATGTTGTTGAGCCTGAAGCAGCGACTGCATGCTGTGCTCACACCAAACAATTAGCAGCTCTTACCAGCTATTTTTTATCTGAAGAACCAACAAGACATGCTGATTTCTGATTTCACTTTACAATTGTTTTTGCTCATCAGCAGTCTTAAAGTTTTAGTTTGGTGTTAATTTGGTTTATGTAAAGTAAATATTTTATTATGCATTTTTTTCTTGTTCTATTGGGTAATATTTGCTTTTGTGAAGCAAACAATTTTTTGCAAGGGGGAGTATTTTTTTCTGAGTGAATTGTTTTACTTTTTTCTTTCTTTTTTTTTTTACAGTCATTAATGTGCCAAATAATCCGTTCAAACAAATGTGAATGTGCTACATGCCAAGCTGTCATTTTCTTTTGTCCTTTGTAATAAAACACAACATTTTTTTATTGTATGGAACTGAATATTGTTTATCTTAAGTCTAATATTTGTTATTTTGAATCAGTACCAATGCATATGTTATATTTCTTTAAAATAAATGCCATTTGGTTTTATTGTTTGCTATCTAATGCAGTGATATTTATTTTTATATGTCTTAAAGGATCACCCAGAAATGAAAATTTGCTGAAAATGTACTCCATTTCAGGCCATTCAATATAGATGAATCTGTTTTTTCACCAGAACAGATTTTGGTCAATTTAGCATCACTTGCTCACCAATGGATCCTCTCCAGTGAATGGGTGTCATCAGAATCCAAACAGCTGTTAAAAACATCACAATAATCCACACGACTCCAGTCCATCAATTAACATCTAGTGAATCAAAAAGATGTGTGGATTTTCCTTTTTGGGTGGACTATTCCTTTACATGTCAAACAACAATCAGTCTTGGTCTCTCAATTAGATCAAATTAGTCTTCATGAAGTTTCAACCCTTTTACCAAAATTATTGTCAGAAAACATTTTTTTTACCTATAAATGAATCAATAACTACAAAACATAATTTCAGTTATTTTCAGCTATTACTTATTACCGTTCATTTTTTTTTACATGTCTATTTAATTGAGTTTAGTGTCGATTGAATGCAATGCAGAAATTGCATCACTTAGGCTACATTAGAGTTGTACTAGTACTACTGCTCCTACTCCTGAGGTTAAAAATAGTCATTTTAAGAGTTGCTCACCCCATTTTGTATCCCTTTCGTGGAAAGTATCCTAATTACTTTTGAGGTCGGTGTATCTAGCCTTGAACCACTGCGCTGGGCTGATTTACCCTGGATAAGGGTGTTGTTATTATGGTGAACCCTGCATGAGGGCGCAGTTGTGAGCCTGGGAAACACCCTCAGTGACGGAGTCCAGCGCCTTGTGGAGGGAGGAGAGAGCGCGAGCAAGAGGGACACAGATGGAGATGGAGGAGGATGTGATTAGAATGCTTAGAAGCTGAGACAATATGTGAAAACGTTTGAAAAATTTCGCGCTCTGTGACAGTTTAAGATATTTTCGTTGTATCTAGATATTACTAAATATCAAGGAAGGGGTAAATATCGTTAAGTGAAAGATGATAGTGTATCTTTATTGAAGCGATAGGATGCTGAGGTGACAGGCGTATGGCTGAATTTAAGCAAGCTAGTCCGCCGTATGTTGAAAAGAAAGGCCAAAATAGGCGGTGTGAATGAAAGAAGAGGGCTTCTCTCTTGGATGGACATGTTTTGAGAGGTGTGGTGGAGGGATGAAGGCGGTATTGGCATCCAGACGGCAGCGGCTCTTCTATCGGCTCTTCATATGTGCTGTCGGGCTCATCGCCGTCGCCTGCTTCGCTCAAATTCTTCATGTAACAGGTGCGTTTATTCATTAAAAAGTCTTTACGCTGCTAATACAGATGTGTATATATATATATATATATATATATACATGTATAAATATATATATGTATTGTATGTGCGTGAACATCCTTTTGAGTGTTTTTCACTGTCGTGAGCATTCGTGATTAATTGACGAGTTTCTATTATATTAATGCGTTTCTTTCATGCAATATGGTGAATCAACCACATGAGCAGCAATAATAGTGTGCATGATCAAACCAAATTATAAGACCCACTAGGAATCAAGAACAGGGTGGGAATTGCGGGAGTGCCCCCCCCAAAAAAAATGTCAAACCAAAATGTTTGGGGTCTCTCAAAAATAGTCTTTTTTTTTTTTTTTAACCTATTAAATACGATTTAAACCCTTTTAAAAAACATTCATTACGCAAAAAAGTTGAATTTTAAGTAATCAGGCAGCACAAAATAGACGCCCTCAGTCAAAAAATGTTTTTATACAGTCTATGGCCAGCGAGGTAACCATAGCAACAGCTCGCCGCTCCCGCGCATTCTTTTAGAAAACATTGAGCGATACTTCGACAAAATATGTGACCCTGGACCACAGAACCAGTCATAAGTAGCACAGGCATATTTGTAGCAATAGCCAATAATACATTGTATGGCTCAAAATGATCGATTTTTCTTTTATGCCGAAAATCATTAGGATATTAAGTAAATCATGTTCCATTAAGATATTTAGTAAATTTCCTACCGAAAATACAGCTAAACTTAATTTTTGATTAGTAATATGGATCGCTAAGAACTTAATTTGGACAACTTTAAAAGCGATTTCTCAATATTTCGATTTTTTTTGCACCCTCAGATTCCAGATTTTCAAATAGTTGTATCTCAGCCAAATATTGTCCTAACAAACCATACATCAAATGAAATCAAATACAAATACAAATAACATACATCTCAATCTAAAAAAAATTTACCCTTATGACTGGTTTTGTGGTCCAGGGTGATATATAAGTAGGCCACTGGTATATTTGTCACTTTATTACACATTTACATAAGAAAAAAAATGTGTTTAAAAAAAAAATCCTAGATGTCTGTTACAATTCGTTTGCAAACAGATTGTTCATTGTCAGAAATGTACTAAAAATGTTTATCCCCTTAAAAGTAATGGAAGCGTTTGCGCACTTACAATCAACATAATACTAATTACATAGAACATGATTACTCAATTTCTTCATGTCATTGATTTTAAAGCATCACGCGCTAAAACCCCAAAAGCAGTAGTGGAGGAACAGCAGGGACTAAGTGAACTGCAAGGGTGGCAGACCATGGCAGGCACATAATTGGCTGTCTCTAAAGGGCATGACTGTGACAGCTGCTTCAGCCTGACATATTTCACACTGACCTCCCCGGAACCTCTAGAGCATTGTTACCTGGACATCACACCTGTGTCTTGGGTCTTCACTAGGCTATTACTCGTCTCCAGAGGTTCAAGGGTTAAATCAGCAGGGGTTTAGAAGTTCTTCAGACATTAGAGAAGATCTGTTCAGCTAAGTCCATTTAATCACATTGCCTTTTTAGAGATACATTTTGTTGTAATTAAGGTTCTTACCTGCAGTACTTAGATACTTCAAATGGCTTTTTATGACATCTAAATGAATATAAGGTCATATACCTGAATTCAATATATATGAATTCAATGGATAATCCATGCAAAAATGAAAATTCTGTCATCATTTACTCATCCTCTTGTCATTCTAAACATGGACAAAAAATATATTTTTAAGAATGTGTCCGTTATTTTTTTCTTCTTCTTCTTCTTCTTCTTCTTCTTATTATTATTATTTTATATTATTATTATTATTATTTTTTTTAGAAATGTCAGTGGGATCCAATATTGTTTGAACCCCAAAATTCTTCAAAATATTTTCTATTTGGTAAAATAGAAGAAAGTCTGATTATAAATTATGATAATTTTTAGACGACTGCCCAGCAAACACAGAACGTTCCCCTAACGTTCCCATTTGGTTATATTTTTGGGAACCAAATACTTCTTATAACATTCTGGGAACGTTATAATAATGTTAGGGGAGCGTTAGAGTAATGTTAGAATAACGTTCTGGGAACGTTAGAGTAACGTTACGGGAATGTTAGAATAATGTTATGGGAACATTCTGCAAACCAAAAACTAACATTCTATTTCAGTTAAATAAACTTTCCCGGCTAACCAAAAACAAACCATAAAACAGAACATTCTTGGAACCAAAAATTGTTAGCTGGGTAAGGACGGTTAGTTGATGCATAACACGTCCATGGGCTTCAAATTTGCACCTTTTCCTTTTATTTTTGTACCATTTTAATCACCTTTTTGCCTCCACTTGTGGTCTGACAAGTGTGGTTAAAAAAAATTTGACCTCACAATTAATATGAGCTGATAAAAGCTGGATATATAATAAAGGTTAAAGTAAAATTGTTTATAATTGAGTATAGCATGTCACACCTCAAGACATATCAACTACCGAATGAGTTGTACCAGAGATGACATTTCGACACCCTGTCAAAAAGCACAAACGGATGCTGACTGAGATGAGGAAAAAAATATGTACAAACATGTACAATGTGACCTACTTCTGCATCATCATTCTGTGTTGCTTAAAATTTGATCTTTTCACAGTGCCTTTAACTTTTCCAGCTTTGTCTGTGTTAATGAGTTCCTCTGGGAGGCTGAGTCTGAATGTTAAGCAGCTCCTAAAAAATGCCATTGGAATCTGCAGCTGAATGAAACGAGGGTTAATTTTTTAGTAACTGGAGCTTCACTTTAATAATAGACCATAACATCACCATGTCAAGAACAATGCAGGTTTAGATGTGGATCTACAGATATGGCAAAAACCGAACAAACTGTATACTGTAGATGAAATAGATGTAGATACACCTAGGTGATTGACAATTGACTGCTCTGTACTTGGTGATGATCACAAAAAAATGATCAGGCAACTAAGCATTGAAAAAAAAGAATGATTAAAATAAGTAATTTTCAAATATATAGTTTCCTGTTATGTGTCAGTCGTGCGCGCTTGAATTTTAAATGTCTACATGTTTACATTCTGTCTACATATTCTAATATGCAGGCAGTTAGCCTATCGCAGTTATATTTGGAACTGATTAGTTTGCATATGCAAATGAGAACTATCTTTGCCATTTGGTTCTTGGGTAAACCACACCCTCTCTGGGCTCAAATCCAGTTCCACACCACTCATTAATCACAGCTTTTGGATCAGGTTTCCATGGGAACTTGAGAGGAGGGAAGGAAGCATTCTGATTGCCTCAATCTTTTGCCTATTTTTAAATAAGTTAGAGTTTAAGTTTGATACAGCGGGTCCAAAACACAGAAAAGTCCATTAAATTAGAAAAGAATGCAAAATAGAGCATTTTTACCAGACTTTTGGATGCTACACTGTATTGAATTGTGGTTATATATAAAATGTTAGTTTATCTTATATATATATATATATATATATATATATTTGGTATAAACTGTCTTGAGTAGCTAAATTTGTGCCAATAGCTTTCACAAAAAAAAACTTAAAGACCCACTAAAGATAAAGGTCTAAGTGTTATGTGTTTTTACAGCCCATTCCAAAGAGGATTCGGACCTGACTTGGGCCCGGCGTAAACTAACCCAGCAGATTGTAGAGGAGAACCAGACATCCAGTACACCCAGAGCTGGTGAGTGAAAACATGGGCAATTCTCTCTCTCTCTTATTATTCGCCTGTCTGTCTGTATCACATCTCTCCATATCTTGCTATCTTTCCCCCTGCCTCCTCATTCTGTGAAATGATGCAGACAGGTGCCCTCTTCATAGTCAAGCCCCCTTTGAGGCTTGTGTTACTAAGCAACAGAATCCCAATTTCAGAACAGAGGATAGTCTGTTTTAAGCATTCAAAGTGTGCCACTTTAGAGAGTTATGTCATATGCCCTTTTTTCCTTCAATCAATTACACAAATCACTCATCGCAAGAGGTGTTTCTCTTTTTCATTTATTTTCTTTTTTCCTTATGCACACTCCTTCTCACTCACTTTCTTATCTTTAGAAATTAGAGATTTCTCTCATTTAACTGATATATCAAAGCTTGTGACAGTTCTAATGTCCCACAACCCTTGTGTAGGTTGCACCTTTCTGACTTCTATACATGATACAGGGCTTAAAGTTCTCCGGCACCGTGCCGGATCTCCAGTGTGTGGCGTTTAGCTGCGGGAAAATAAAAATAAAAAAACTTGTTGATATCCCGTTTGAGTTAATGAGTTCGCCTCCCAATGTATGAGAGGAACACAGCTTTCACTCTCAACCAAACTAACATTAGCCAATTAGACATTTTTGGTCCTATAAACATGAGACGCACATAATAGTAGTATCCATCTGCAGAGTCGCAGCTGATGAGCGCGACACATTCTGAAAAAGCTGCGAGGCGCAATGGTCAAAGATTTCCATCTAGAGGGGTGCCCAAACTCGGTCTTGGAGGGCCGGTGTCCTGCAGAGTTTAGCTCCAACCCTAATTAAACACACCTGAAGCTAATCAAGGTCTTACTAGGCATACTAGAAACTTCCCAGCAGGTGTGTTGAGGCAAGTTGGAGCTAAACTCTGCAGGACACCGGCCCTCCAAGACCGAGTTTGGGCACCCCTCTAGATGGAAATCTTTGACCAGGAGCTTTGTAAACAGCTCAGAGTAATCACGTCATCTCCATAAGAACAATATGATTAGCAGAACAAATTTACCTGTAGTTTTGTAACGGTCCTGTTCACACATGATCTCTTAACGGCACGTGACATGTGGCCAAGTATGGTGACCCACACTCGGAATTAGTGCTCTGCATTTATCCCATCCAAAGTGCACACACACACACCCGGAGCAGTGGGCAGCCATTTATGCTGCGGCGTAAATGTTGGGGAGCAGTTGGGGGTTCGGTGCCTTGCTCAAGGGCACCTCAGTCATGGTATTGAAGGTGGGAGAGAGCGCTGTACATTCACTCCCCCCACCTACAATCCCTGCCGGTGCGAGACTCGAACCTGCAACCTTTGGGTTACGAGTCCGACTCTCTAACCATTACCTCTTCCCCAATTTACCAGTGAAGACTGTATGTGTGAAAGGGGCTAAACTCTTCCTCTGCATATGCGGTGAGTTTGAGTTGCTTAACGTTCATCTGGGAAAACTGTGCGTTATCTCACTTAAGTTGTAACTTAAGTCATTTATAAACCTATGCCAACACAGAATAGATCAACATATTTCTAAATAAATGTAGATGGCCAGTTCAAAATAAAAGTTTCTCACTTTGCATATGGCAAATTAAATGGATTTAAACGTCATTGAATCACATGAAACATCACCAGGCCGTTGGCGCCCTCTGCAGATATTTGTTATAATATAGGCATATTACATTATGTATTTAACAGTTGTTGGAGTCAATTATTATTGCCTCATCGTTACGGCGTAAATGTTGGGGAGCAGTTGGGGGTTCGGTGCCTTGCTCAAGGGCACCTCAGTCATGGTATTGAAGGTGGGAGAGAGCGCTGTACATTCACTCCCCCCACCTACAATCCCTGCCGGTGCGAGACTCGAACCTGCAACCTTTGGGTTACGAGTCCGACTCTCTAACCATTACCTCTTCCCCAATTTACCAGTGAAGACTGTATGTGTGAAAGGGGCTAAACTCTTCCTCTGCATATGCGGTGAGTTTGGGTTGCTTAACGTTCATCTGGGAAAACTGTGCGTTATCTCACTTAATTTGTAACTTAAGTCATTTATAAACCTATGCCAACACAGAATAGATCAACATATTTCTAAATAAATGTAGATGGCCAGTTCAAAATAAAAGTTTCTCACTTTGCATATGGCAAATTAAATGGATTTAAACGTCATTGAATCACATGAAACATCACCAGGCCGTTGGCGCCCTCTGCAGATATTTGTTATAATATAGGCATATTACATTATGTATTTAACAGTTGTTGGTTTTGATACTTTATTTGAGCCAATTATTATTGCCTCATTGTTAGTTTATATATAAATATAGTCATATTAAAGCCTGTTTTTCACTTAGTTCTATTTGTATTACTAAAACATACTTGTCAAAATAATCAGTAGATTACTTGATTATCAAAATAATTGTTAGTTAAGCCCTAGATTTGTTAAAACATTTCAAAATATAACTGCATTGTTCTACTTTTTGTAATTAAAAGACAAATATTTTGTCATCAGGGCTCCAGACTGCGACCAAATTTTTTTCTGCCGGTGTGACTAATTTCTGTGTGCGGTCACACTGGCGCGACCACCGGGTTGTCCAACTCATAAGCGCTGCCATTTCTGTTACATTTGAGAAACATCAAACGGCAAACGAAACGACAGCGATACTAAACCGCGTTTCAGCTGTGCAGCGCGGACCGTTCATCAGCTCGCACCGCGACGCAAACAAACTTGTCCGAGCTCAGAACAGCTTTACTCGGGAGCCAAAGTTGATTTCGCGACACTGTTACTGCACAGATGCACAGTGCTGCGAGATCCAGTGAGAACTGAGAAGCGTTTGAATTCGCCGCACAACGATAAGGTTGCTGCGAGATCTAGTGAAAATCATTCAAATTCTGCACATAATTCTCTGTTATAAACAGCGCTGTCATACGTCAGGAAACCAGAAGCGGTAACGCTAACTGTAACCATGGTGTTGTGGTAGAAATAGTCGAATGCATTACATCATTCATTTCAGGGTTTGTACAACCTTTTGTGAGAGAAATTCAAGCACTTTTCAATGACTTTCAAGCATCTCACACAGCTTTTTTCCACTTTAAAGCTCTAAAATGATCCAGTTTGAATGTTATTTTTAATGGGATGACCAAAACATACTTTGTGGTAAACAAACACTTAGGCCTATGTAAAAAAAAAAAAAAAATCAAATCACAATTCATTTATACTTTTTCCTCTATATTTTGAAATTATAAAATCACTATTATAAAATATCAAATCATCAAGAAATCAGATTTTGTCAGTTCTTTACACTTTTTTTGTGCATGAAGTAAGAAAAGTCACAAAGTGTTGTTAATAAAAGTAAATTGTGAATGCATCTTAACTCAAGCTTAGTGCTTTACTATCAAATCTGTATAAACAATAAACAAAAGAAAAATAAACAAGAAACGGACATGTAATATTATTAGTAACTGCACTTATTAATGCAAAACAATAGTAATTTTATGATTAAGTTATCTATATTTTAATACTGCACACCACCCCCAGCGCTACCAAATCTGCTCCTGGTGCCACCATCTGTAGAACTTAGTGGCGCTGGTGCCACTGCTCTCAAATGTTAGTCTGGAGCCCTGTGTCATTCAAATATTTCTTAAAGTATTAAAACATTGTCTCGTTCTATTGAACCAAGTATCTGCATTTTGTCTCATCTGTGAACTAAGTTTATTGTCACACCCCTAGTGTCGATAAGCGGTGATATAGCTCATAATTTTCCAAGTGTATGACATTAGCATTAGCCTAGCTTTCATTCTTCAGGCCAATCATAAATCAGTTTGAATAAGGAAAGCGATAGCTTTGCCATAGTATCCTTTCAAATGTTAAAGTTGCCACAGTCATTGCATTCTTTGCATGTGCTGCACTTTATTTGTACCATTTGTTTTATTAGTTTATATATTAGAATTTGAAAGACAATAACAATATTTTTTGATAAGTGATCAAAATCTGATTCTAGTCCTTGAAAACCAAAAGAGTAGTGCTTGAAAAGTCCTTGAAAGTCCTGGAATTAAGTTACCAGTTCTTGGAGCATTTTATTTTGTTGTTGTTAATTAAACTGAACTGTAGTTTTCTGTAGTAAACTGTCTTTGTATATTTCCTATTTTATATTAAATTCCTAGTATTTAATTTACTATTATTTATTTTGAACAAAACACTTTAAGAAATTTAATGTTTTAAATTGTAGGTCATCTTGTACCCTGTCAAGGACAAATCTAACCAGCAAAACTTGATATCAAAAGCATCCTAAATGTTACATGTGTTTGCATTATAGTGAGTAACCTTTCCTGTTATTGCTGTTTCAAATAGCCTACCATAATCTGTAGTCTGAGCCTGTCAAGGGCTAATGGCAAGGGCAGATATGCTATTAGTTAGTTTCAGGGAAAATCATTTTCAAATAATGTCTTTTTTTTTTTTTTTTGCCAAATAACCCTATGTATTTGTCCACCCCCACAACCCCCCAAACCCCGGAAAAAAGTTCAGGCTCAGGATTTTTTTTTTGCTTTAACCCCTGATGATAATATAGTCTGTGATGCTAATTAAATTGTACATTTTTACAATAACATTGTAAATTGTACATTGTGTAAATTTTTCAAACTGCACTGATTCACTTTAATTATGTAAAACACATTTAAGATAATTGTTTTTCATACTTTAATGCAGAGAAAAAATTGCAGATTGATTCTGGAGGACAAATGTAATAAAATGTTATGCTCTAAAAGCTCTTCAAATCATTACAAAGTAAATTTAATCATAAATGTAACTGAGCAGCTATTGATTCCAGCTATGCATCAAGATAACAGATTTAATAGTATTGCTTAGACAAATTTTCCATTGCATTTGACATTATCTAGTGAAGTAGCATTTAAATATAAGCAAATTATATGTAAATTCTATACAAGAGAAGTTTAAAAACAGAAAGGCTGTGATTGTTATTAATCTGTGCATTTAAAAGGGTGTCATTTCCTCCCTCTTCTCTTGATTTCATGGCTGTTTATTAGACAGCTGGCCTCTTTAAGGCAGTCAAAGCAAGAACTGTCTTTACGCTGATTGCATCTCAAGAAGCTGTGGGCTAAAGTATTACCAGTCCTCTGATTTAACTAGGCCCACTCTTCCTGGCCTCTCTGCACTATTACAGATTAGCTAAAAGGCTGGTCAATTCAATTGCCACTTAGTTACCATAGACAAAAGCTTCTTAACAACCTTAAGTTAAATGGAGCGCATTGCCTTGATAAGGACTACATCAGTGAAGTAAGAAAGTACAACACTAGATAGAGCAGTGTTCTCACAGATTAAATACAGTTTGCTTTGCCTTTTTTGTTTATTTGTTTGTATATTTATTTTTTTCCCTCCCACAATATACATCTGAATATGTGGTTAGATTTTACCATGTCAGTCACATTTTTAGGGCCATAAGAAATGCTTTGTAAAACAGAATGAGGTTTAATAGCAACTGTGCTGTCAGATGTGAAACCTTTATCTTATGTGACCTTTAATGTAAGCATTAATGTGCTAAATGTTATTATCACCAGAGCTGTCAAGTTTGTCTCTTAGTGTTTGAAGGGGAAAGTGTGCAAAGTGTTAGCCTTGCTTTATAGATTGCATAGTTTCTGTATTTCTGGTGGTCTTTTAACCCCTGCCTCTATTCACAAAAATGTTCACTTTTCCACTCAGCTATCCATGAATTTCCAGAGGACATCTTCACTAAGGGACAGAGGAGGCATGGGGCAATTCTACTGCATGTGTTTTGTGTAAGTATACCACAGTACAGTGAGAAATATATAGAGAACTGTATGATGCAGGGACTGACTAAATAATGCAAAGTGCACTAACAATCAAAAGTTTAGGGTAAGATTTTTTTTTTTTTGAAAGACATCAATATTTTTATTCAGCAAGAATACATTAAATTAGTCAGATGTGACTGTAAAGAAGATTTCTGTTTTAAATAAATACTGTACTTTGTATAGTATATGTACATACAGTATGTAATATGATTTGCACAAAAAATAAATAAATAAGCAGCTGTTTTCAACATTAATATTAATATGAAGTGTTTCTTGAGCATCAAACCAACTGTTTTTGATCAAATAAATCCAGCCTTGGTGACCATCATAGAGTTTTAAAAGAGTTAAAAAATATTTTAAAAAGACCTCAAACTTTTAAATGATAGTGTACATTTCCTTTTTTAATTGGCATTTTTAAGGGTTTTAGAATAAGTTTTTTATTTTTACTTGATTTCTAGTTTCACTTAGAATTATTGTAATTTGATTAGATAAACATTTGTTTACTTGTAAGGATGTGTAGCAAAATTCAAAATAATGATATAACTAAAAATGAAAGACTTCATTCAGTACAGTCTTTCGAAAGCACTGTTATTGTTATCTTGTAAAGTTGGTGTTTGTAAAGGTTAAATAATGGATCTCTGCTGAACTGTATACTGTGTGCTCTTGTGACCACAGGCAGTTTACATGTTCTACGCCCTTGCTATTGTCTGCGATGTCTACTTTGTCCCCTCTCTGGAAAAAATCTGTGAGGTGAGTGTACTTTGTTCGTACTGGCAGGAATGTCTTACTGTGAAATATCAGAGCATATTCTGAGCTGGAGTTTGTAATTTCAGAATCTGCACCTCAGTGAGGATGTTGCAGGTGCCACTTTCATGGCAGCAGGCAGCTCCGCCCCCGAGCTTTTCACATCTTTGATTGGTCAGGCCTCTAGCAATGTTTTTCAGTAAGTTGTTGCTGTAAATAAGTCATCAATAAATAATTGTCTCTTCATATCAGGTGTGTTCATCACCAAGGGAGACCTGGGGGTGGGAACTATTGTGGGATCAGCTGTCTTCAACATCCTGGTCATCATTGGAGTTTGTGGAATATTTGCTGGAATTTTTAATAAATTAAGTTTTTTATATATGTATATACATATATAATATGCATGCATACACTGAAAAAATATTATACATATATATATATATTAAGGCTGTCATCGTTAACACGTTAACGCATGCGATTAATTTTACAATCCTTAACGCATTAAAATAATTTAATTCAATTAATGCAAAATTACTAAAGCACAATTTCTATTCTAACCCTTTAACCCAATTTTGCTTCTCTGCTTTGCGATTAGACCATTTTAAGCTGCTAAACTCCAGGAAAGTTTTCAGTCCAATGATCCAGTAAGCGAATGCATTCAAACAATCCGTCCAAAACAGCGCTAATATATAGGAAACCAGGCTGATTACATCAGAGACTGCAGAGAGAATAGAGACTCTTTTAAGTGAATTATTCATTCCAGTGTGTTTGGCTTTAAAACACGAGCTCTGTCATATTCTGTAATTGTCTCTGAAGAGCGCGAGCCCTCACATGTCACACGCGCTGTGTGAAGTACAGACTGAACGGATTGTCAACACATCCCACTGCTGTATGGCCAGATGAGACGCAAACTACATTTCTCGACTGGATAACCAGTCTCGCTAGTAAAGTTTTGATAGATGAAGACTGCAATCAAGGTAAAGACGATTGCGGTGGCGTACAGGAGTCATATAGTGAGCACGCGTGAGTCCGTTATAATAATGCGTGTAAGAGTGCTCTTGATGCACTGATCGCACATTGTATTTATGCACAGGCACAGACATTTCCGTACATTCACGTTGTTTCTACACACATTCACGATAATGTTTTGATTTGTCATGTTTATGTTGCTGTGTTTAGTTATACGGAATGGATCCGTGTACTGTAGTAGATGCAGTCAGCAGGCGATTGGTTTAGGTTTTTTTTGGCATCTCCATGTGGTCCTGTTCGGTATCGCAACTTGGCTTCTCTAAAATATAAAAAAGCTCTTTGGTGTTGCACTGTACACATACTACAAAATTCTGATTTTTTTTCTTTCGTATGTGCTTATATGGGCTCCTTATATCATTTGGTTCTTTGGTGTCCTTTTGGAGTTTCTAAGTGTCCTTTTTGGGAAACATGTAAATTTATCTTGAAAAAAGCTTGCAGAAAATATAGATTTTTGAGAATCACCCTTCAATCTTTTGGTTTACTTTGCTGGATATAGCAAATGATGACAAAATAAACATTTGAAACAAGATAAATGGTCTATGCTTAATTTCATGAAGTGTGCGATTAATCACAGAAAAAGGATGTGATTAATTAGATTAAACATTTTAATCGATTGACAGCCCTATATATATACATTTATACATTGAAAAAATATTAGTGTAGAAATAATTTTCACTCAGAAATTTCTAATAAATGTCACAATGAATTGCTTAGAAACACCAAATAGCACACAGAATTTAATGTAAAACTTTGAAGTAGAAAAACTAAAATAGTATTTTCACTCCAATAATCGTATATGTGCAAAACCGTGTGTGTGTGTGCGTGTGTATACATGTGGAATCTTGGTGCCCCTCTATGCTGTTACTGAAAAATTAGATTCATCCAGAATCAATTTAGAATTTGATTAGGACTCTCTGATTCAAAAACAAATTGTATCATAAGGGGCATAAAGTCTCCCACCCCTAGTGGATATGTTTATAAATGGTTCCAAAACATGATATTAAACCATTATTCAAAATAACAGGACAACACATTGAGTTTTTTTGTGGTTCATCAGTCTCCAATTTTTTTCCATATACTGATTAGAAGAATGGCCCTCATTTTTTGCCCCTTAAGGACCATAATCCATTAGTCTGAGAGCCATTTCTAGGTAATGGGGGCATGCATTTTAGATTCATGCACTAGTGTTATGATTATAGAAAAGAGATGAGAGCTCTCAAACCTCTCGGGGCTGATGCGGCTTGCAATCAAATTAACTTAATCACTGCTGAACAATTGAAAATCTTACTGAAGATGACATTAAGAGTGAAAATTGCAATTTGAAGAGCTCAAAAGGAAAACCTTTGAAACATTTGAATAACAAAAGCCAAAAAAAGAGAGAGAGATCATGAATACTGAATGCAAGTATCATTCGCCTGTCTTTGTCCTGTTGGTGATATTTTGTATGTATACTCACATAAAAAAGGTACAAAAGCTGTCCCTGTGGCAATACGCTTTACTTTAAATGTACATATCAGTTCCTTAAGTGTACATATTAGTACATAAATAGTATATTATTAATACCTTTTTGAAAGGGTACCGCCCTAGTGAAAGCTTTTGTATCTTTTTACATATATGTGAAATCTGTTTTTGTCCTGTAGGTGGTGTTAAGGAGCCTAGTATGAAGTGAGGTAACGATTTAATTAAGTACTTTTATCCACAGAGGGGCGCTGGGAACAAGTCAGGTGGGTGTTGTCATGGCCCTTAGGCTGCCTTCTGTACTACTCTGTCCCAAACTGTGTTTTGCCTCGCTGGGAGCGCTGGTTCATGGTTACCTTTGTGGCCTCAACACTCTGGATTGCCGTGTTCTCCTACCTCATGGTGTGGATGGTGAGATCAATGCTTCATTGTCATGTGGGAATGTCTCGGTATATGATATGATGGGCTGTTAACACACATTATCTTTGTTGCAGGTCACCATTATCAGTTTTACACTAGACATTCCAGATGTTGTCATGGGTATTACATTTCTAGCAGCTGGCACCAGTGTCCCAGACTGCATGGCAAGTCTCATAGTTGCCCGTCAAGGTGCTAAGATCACCCTACTCTTCCTTTTCCTGAACACATATAGATTTAAAAGATCAGTGTGTTTGTAAAGTTGAGTTGAATGAATGTGTCTGGTGATGCAGGTATGGGAGACATGGCGGTGTCCAACTCGATTGGCAGCAACATCTTTGACATTCTGCTGGGTCTTGGTTTCCCATGGGCTTTGCGCACTCTAGTGGTTGATTATGGGTCAACGGTGAGTTTGTATTTATTTTAACTAGGGATTGGTCACAGTGATCACTGATGTATTCCAATAATTTTTCTAATCATTGTGTATCAATCAAGAAATTAACTAAATTAAATGAATTTAAAAAACAAACAATATAAAAAACATTTAAAATTCATAAGATCCCCTTCTTTTCTTTTAATTTTTGCTTTCTATGTTTTTATTGACCAAGTAAACACACCATATTGTATTGTAATAGATTGTAATTATATAGTTTTTATTTTACGTTTAGTTTACGTTTTATTATTGTTTTTTAAATATTAAGTTTTGGTTTAATTTATTTTATTTTAGTTTTCTAACTTTTGTGCTTCAACTTTAACCTAATTAAGTCTAATTAACACAAATTTTAGTCATATTTATATACTTACAGTAATTCTATTAATATTTTGTATTAGCCTTTATTTTTTATAGTTTTCATTTTAATTTGTACAAATTTTTTATCTGTTTTATTAGTTTCTTTAAATATTATTATTATTTATTTATTTATAATTTTTTTTGTTTATTTTACTTTTCATTGTTTTTTATTTTAATTTTAGTTTACGTTTTATTAGTGTTTTTTAAATATTAAAGGGGTCATATGATGCTATTTTAAAGATCATTGTTTTCTGTATTTGTTGTAACAGAATATGTTGACATGCTTTAATGTTCAAAAAACACATTATTTTCAAATACTGTACATTATTGTAGGTCCTCTATGCCCCGCCGCTCGCAAACACGATGTTTTCAACAAAGCCCCCTCCTTTGACAAGCGCAGTCTGCTCTGATTGGCCAGCTGACCCAGTGCGTTGTGATTGGCCGAACACCACAAACACGCGTCGGAAATGTAACGCCCCTTACCATAATCGCGAGCTTCAGCTTTCAAAGTAAATATCAAGACAGTAAATAATGTCGTTAGTTTTACCATCAGTTCAAGCCAGAAAGGGCAACGGAGTCGCGTGACAGACACAGTGATGATGCAGTACACAAGCCGCGGTTAAGACAGCTGACGTGCTATGATTTCTGACAGGCAGTTCACTCTCCTGTGATGTGACCCTGTTCCCCTCACACACACACACACACACACACACGACGCGTTACTCTGCGCTGTGCAAAACTCCGCATTTGAACAGTCAATAGCAAATACTTAAACTAATAACAAAACATACTTAGAGTCGCTGATTCAGAAGCGCCAGATTGTCATAGCAAAGTCTTTTTTTACCCTTTTTTTTTCTTCTAGGTTAAAAAGACTGTCGTCCATGAAATGCGTTGCACAAATTCGAACATCTGGGCTGTGCTGTTCTGATGTAAATAAATCTTAACCAATGATTCCTAATTGCATCTACAGTGGGGCAAAAAAGTATTTAGTCAGCCACCAATTGTGCAAGTTCTCCCACTTAAAATTTTAGTTTTCTAACTTTTGTGCTTCAACTTCAACCTATTTAAGTCTAATTAACACAAATTTTAGTGTTATTTATGGAATATTTTGTAATATTGATATACTTACAGTAATTTTATTAATATTTTGCAATAGCCTTTATTTTTTATATTTTTTTATAGTTTCTTTTTTAATTTCAGTTTAATTTGTACAAATTTTTAATCAGTTTTATTAGTTTCTTTAAATATATATTTATATATATATATATATATATATTTTTTTTTTTTTTTAGTTTTCATTGGTTTTTATTTTAATTTTAGTTAAAGGTAATGACACTGGTTCTGTGTACTAAATTCAAGTGGCACCAAAATATTCATTTGATTCTTGCAACATTCTCTCTTGGTCTTCCTCCAGGTCTTCATTAACAGTAAGGGGCTGCTGTACTCAGTGATTCTTCTCCTTGCTTCTGTTTTTCTCACTGTAAGATGATAATTTCTTATTTGAGAACTCTATCTTGATCTCCTGTTTATGCTCGTTCATATTTTGTAATCTTTGTCTCATGGCCTGTTTTCTGTCTGTCCTTGTTTGCACAGGTACTGAGCGTGCACCTGAACCACTGGAGGCTGAACCGGAGGTTAGGCCTTGGGCTTATGTTCCTGTATGCCATCTTCCTGCTCTGCTCCATCTGCTTTGAGAGACTCTAGATCCCGCTTTCCATGTTTTGCATAGCTGTAGGGTAGATCTAGACCTAGATAACCATATTTTAACCCCAGTCACTGCTTTATTAGTAGCGGTTATTTCAGCCATGGTTTGAGGCCAGAGTAGTGAACGTTACATTTTGAAGCGTGACTCTGCTCCAGCTTTAAGCCAATCCCCTGTGAGACAGTGCTGCCAAACTCAAGGAGACAGTACTTCACACTGTACCTCTGAAACATTTCTACTTAGCATACAGAGCTTCTTTAAGAGAACAAAAATCAGTTTCAATTTCAAGGTGTGATGAATTTATACAAGCGGTATTAAATGTTTACAGCACACAGGACACTTCCTCTAGCCTCGCCTTTTGCATATTTCTATTCTGAAATCTTATAGTCACAATCAAGCATGATACGAAGAAAAATATGACATTGCAAAAGTGTGTTACTACTAAAAAGAGTTCTATAAACTCTTGTAACAGAGATCACTCAATTTATTGCATTACTTTTCATTATTTATTTTTGACTTTAGGTCTGTAAAAATTTGTGCTTTAGGATTGAAGGATTTTCCTGTTTCAGTATATTTAAGAGCAGTTTGTTCATTTTTGTGTTGTTCCTTGAAAAAGAAAATATTCTGGTATTTTGGAAAGCATTTCTTGTAGTATTACTGATTAACCAAAAACATCCCCTGTCTTTGGTAAGTGTTTACATATCAAACATACATAGTTTTATATAAAGTCCCGCTTTAGAGGTGTCTGCTGCACATTTTGATTTGTTGTAATGAATTACTTTTGTGCCCTGCTACAACACTATGATTATGAACATGAGAAAGTAACAATCAATTAAATCTTTAACAATGTGTAACCATTATTCACAAATAACTGCTTTATACACTGGCCTTTACCATGTTAAAAGCACCAAATGAAGATGTTGGGAATCTCAATATAGTTATAATATATATATATATTTATTTTTTCCAATGATCATATATTGCTTACTGTCTACAGGACAGATAATGAATTATAATTAACATAATTTAAATTCATAATCAAAGGATTTGGTACAGCAGTGTTTTAATTGTTGTGAAGTTATCTTTAAAGTTATTTTTGACATATTATCCTTGATTAAATGTGCTTATGTTTTAGTTCTGTTGTATATTTAATTTTTTTAAGACATGTGTTACTTAAGTCACGCACACAGAAATTTTGTTGCTTGTGGTTTTCAGTTCTCTTAATACTAATGCGCAAAATGTAAAGATGATTTTTATCTTACCACTCACAATAAAACGTATGTGTTAATTAAATCAATGTGAGAAATAAATTGTAAACGACAAGTTACAGCCTGAGTAAACATCTTATGTTCCAGTTCAACATCTTCACTGTTTGTTTTCATTTTAGAAGTCACAGTGAAGCAGCTCAATATCTCACCATTTGTTATAGTTCTGTCTATATTCTTAAAGATATCTGTATGTTGTTGAGTGCAATAAAACAAGGTCTGTGCAATACCCCAAAACATCACATTAATGAGTCAGTTGCATTCTTCCCCATATGGAAGTGTCGCAAATAAAGTTTCATTTTGTGAACACATTTGAGATGCTGAGTTCTTTTTAAGAGTTCATTTATAAGCATCAATTGGGAAACATTTTTAGGAAAGAAAGTTTTGTAGTTTTTACAATGGATTAACATTTACTATAACAGCTTATATCTTCAATTTGGGATCTAGCAATGTGTGTTGACCCGGTCCTTAAACTTAAATAGGCCCATTAATTAAACAAGAGTTTATTTTTTTGATTTTGATCTATTTATCAAAGAATTCTATATAAAAAATAAGTTTCCACAAAAAATGTATCTGCACAACTGTTTTCAAATCGATAATAATATGAAATATTACACCAAATCAGCATATTAGAATGATTTCTGAAGGATCATGTGACACTAAAGACTGGAATATTGATACTTAAAATTCAGCTTTGCCTCACAGGAATAAATTACATTTTAAAATATATTCAAATAGAAAACATTTATTTTAAATTGTGAGACTATTTCACAATTTTACAGTTTTTACTGTATTTTTGATCAAATAAATGCTGCCTTGGTGAGCATAAAAAACAACATAACAATCATACAATAGTGTAATTTTTTTTGACATTTATTAACAAAACCAATGATCACACCAACCATTCACTGATATATAAAGGTAAAATTTAGTTTAGAAGAATTTTAGTAAACTTTCAAAAAAAATCTTGCTTTTCTCCAAAGTACACCCAAAATAAATTATGTTCTTTACTATGTTCTTGTTGTTTCTTTCTGTTTTTGGACACAATGTTTCATCAAAGACAGTGGAAGATGAGAGATGTTAGTCCAATACTTCCACCTGCAATTTCGGGAAAAACAGAGACACATAATCCATCACCGTGCTATGCTGTTTGTCCATTTGGCACCAAACCTTTGTGTCATATTATATACCTTTCACTTTGACAAATACAGCAAAAGAGAAACCAATAGCACTGTCCCAGGACACACGTCATCTGGTGCGTAAGAGGGCTTCTTGAGTATTCATGGATTGCTTTGCATGTGTGACAGTAACTTTGAACATCACTGAGAACCGAATTGTCCAAAAATGCTTGTAATGCAATTAGCTTGTTCCACATAATAAAAATGCACCGATTCATTCAACAATTGGGACTGAACAATAAAACATCAGACCAAATATAGATAAAAAATAATTCCAAATTTTTTTAATACATCATAAGATGTCAGACATAAAGAATCTGAGGCAGAGCAGTCACTGATGGAAAGTGAAGAGTAAACATTTGTTAGTGGTCTCTGTGCAAGCAGAGATAGGCTCTGTCTGAATTGACAGCACAACCTTAATTGTGTCTATGACGAGGGAACCATCACGTCAAACCATTAAGACTGGGATGGGGTGACACGAGCAATATTGATCCCTTCAGGATAGATGGCCTCTGAAGATATAAAACTGAAGATCCTGGCTGGGGCGAGAGAACTGGAGACTGGAGTCACCCACCAACCTCTCAACATGTTGTCACTGGCACTGCTCTACATTCTGGCTGTGGTTTGCTCTGCGCGGAGAACTCATGCACTGCCTCTTTATTCAGACACAGAACTGCCACAACAGGAAGGTAAGATTAGCAGTGTGCTCTTGATAAGTTGGCAAGCTCATGGTTTTTGTTAAGGCTAAATGTATGGTGAAACCATGTGTAATGGACATTGGGCCGATTGCTCAACATCCATTCTGCTTTCAATGTAAATGTTAAAGAGAAAGTGGTGAATGCAGTATGGGAAAGATTTGATAAAAACCCATGAGCTCTCTTCTTCAATTCTTCTGCACTTCAATTTTTAAACATAAATATTTAACTTAGAAACAGAAGAGTTTTTGGGGAAAATTCAAATAACACAAACATTTTCAAAGTTGTAAATAAAACAAAGATTATTAAAATATGTTTTACTAGAAAACTATTTGAAAATGTCATGTTTAAGTCAATGAATAACATGCTGTTTTTTGTAATTATTTGTGAAAAAGACTAGCAATTTCTGAGTGTAAATTGTTTCACCACCAACTGTTTTTAGAGTAGTTTTCGAATGTAATGACTCAGTTTTTGTAGTTTATAAATGTATTTTTTAATCTTGCAGAACTGATTCAAAAACTGGTGGCAGAGGTTGAGGATAGACAGAATAATGACTTAAGGGAGCAAAGGGACATTAAAACTGTGCTCCCTGTCCTGCTGCAGAGAGGTGAGACTGTGACTCTTGGGTACTAATTATTACATAACATTTGTCCTGTTATTAGAATGGATACAATTTTCAAAACTTTCTGTAGCCTAATCATGTTTTGTTTTTTACTTTCCTTCTAGGTGCAAAAGAGACTTTGCAACAAGGCAAAATAAATAACATGGTATTAGCCTACTATTTGTTATAAATGTACAGTTATTTCTTTCTTTCATATAATTAAAAGAGTGATAATGAATGAGTATGTTCTGTCTTTAGGTGGATGATTTAAAAGCAGTCGTCTTGAAACTCGCAGCAGTTGATAACCTGCGTTCTCAAGGCTATCTACGATCTGAGCAAAACGTACCCAAAAACAATAAGAGAGGTGAACAATTAAAGTATCTAAGCAGAAGTTTTCATATACTGTATGTAGTGCAAAAAAAACAAATTTAATGAATATTTTAAAGTACATACAATTATGTAATGCAGATAAAAAATGTCAAAGACAACACAATGGCTTTTTATTCTTCTTATATTGCATTACTAAATCCAATTTTTGTCCTTCCTTTTACAGCCTGTTTTTGGAAATATTGTGTTACAAACTAGGAATCAATCTGCTGAGATGGACAGAGGACCATCCTAACAGACCTTATGTACAAACACCAAAAATGTATGCTTTTGTTTTTCCCCATAAAACGTCCACCCAGCTGCTGTTTGACATTGTGAATATTGTTTTATATATAGTAATTTAACAGGAATATGAATGTATTTTTTATCATGAATGAAAACTGACCTAGAACTGCAACTGTAAAATAAAAATATAGTCTGGGTAAAACAGATGAGTTGTAAGATTTATGTTTTGAAACCAATCTTTCATCAAAGCTCTAGACATGCTTCACGTTCACATAAAAAGAGAAAGACAAACGTGTGATGTGTATAATATTACTTTTATTTTTAAGTAAAATCTGAAAGAAAGCAGTCTAATCTCTTTCTTAAACAATCCCAACGTCTAACAATGGTGTCTGTGTGACTCATACATCCATCACAATGACCCTTAATACACAACAACCATTAACGCCGCATGACTCACTGACTCCAGTTCTGCGTGTGATTTGACTGAACTTTTATCTTTACAGTGTTTTCAGCTCATTCTTACAGATTATTAAAAACACATAGCCTTTTTAGGTATACATTACATATAACCGAATACCTCCTAATGAATGAAAAATACATATATACACAAATAGGCACAAAAACATTACATATGATATTGCAGTTAAAAGCACAACTCTGTTGACTGTTGTGCTCAAGATCATTTGCAAAGGATCCTATAACCTCTAAAACTAGTAAAGCCTCTTTGCCAGTAGCAGTCACTCAGAAGGGCTTTGAGATCACAGGCACAACGAAAGTACTTTAGCAAACTGTGTGTGGTGTGTTTTTGGCTTCAACTGTAACAGATTTCCACACCTGTGAACTACAACTATGTAGATGGCTATAAACTTAAGAACTTGTATTTACACTATTTAAACATTTTATCACAACATTGCTTTATTAATCTGAAGTTCAGTTCCTCTTGGCCACACTCAGATAGACTTTCTCAATTTCAATGTCAGCTGGACAGGTCTGGCTGAACTCTTCTCTCTCATATGCATTCTGCAGGTAACGCCACACTCCAGTGAACTGAGCAGGAATCTCAAAATCACAGTACTTTCTGGCAGCAACCTACAAAACCAAAAAACAGAATGAACACGTTTATAAATATGCATTTAAAATGAAGTAGCTTTATTAAATCACACAGGCCTGTGAACGTATAAACCACAGAGGCGTATCACCTTGATGACGTGCAGCTTTGGTAACAAGTTGCAGTCTGCCAGTGTCAAGCGGTTGCCATCGAGGAACTTTCTTTTGGATACGCTGATGTTTTGATCTAGCTCATCCTGAAGCGGAGTGTTCAGATAGTCATCCAGGCGCTTAAACTCCCTCAATAAGGCTTTTTCGTGGACTGAGGAATGAAACAATAGAGAAAAAATATTTGAGAGTGATAGCCTAGGCTACATTATAACCTAATTGTGAAGCCACAATGTCTACTGTATATGCACAGGAATACTTAGATACTAATTTTGTTTTGTTCCATTATGTAGGCCTAAGTGTCATGTAAATTAATCTAAGTCATTGAATCATTCACTGAACTGATTTGTTCAAAACACTGAATCATGCAGCAGGAATGAAGCACTTCAGTAATGTTGGGAATAGCTGTGGCTGTGTTTGGAACTTTCTTCACAATATTGTGTCTAAACTGTAAGTTACTCAATATTAACTTCTTATTTAATGAACTACTGTATAAAAGCAATATCACACAATCGTGCTGTTCTACGATTTCGCAACGGTATTTTCCACGTTGACCATCAAGCTGGTGACTTGTGTATGAGAATGTGATTCATACTATCACTATTTGCTTCAATACTGACAGTAGACAATAAACTGTTTCCCTAATGTTACTGCACTTTTAGACACAACACACCTTTTGAACTAGCAAAAAGCATCATGAATTTGTGGCGTAAAATGTAGGCTAGTTCTAGACACTAAGTTGTTATGGCTTTGTAAATAAGTAAGGAAAACTGGGGTTTTTTTTCATTTCATGTATATGTATATACTGTACATATGTGTCTTGGTTGTGAATGAAACTTACAAGCATTGTTTGGGCTGTTCTTGATGAACGCGGAGAACTTGGCAAAAATGTCAGCACCAACATCAAAAGACTCTTTGTAGCGGGGGCTGAGATGAGGATAGCTGATAGAATCAGAAAGAGAGAAATATTTATAGCCAGACTTCACACACCCAAAAGATAGACATCCAACAACATTCACATAATAATGCTGACGTTTAAAAAGTGCTTAAGCTTGTCTATATACATAATACATGTTAAATATGCCATAGGGTTTTATTTTACAAATATTTTGTCATAGGCACACTATTCAAAATGGTGGAGTCTGTAGGAAATTTTATGCTCATCAATACTGTGTTTATTTGGCCAAAAATACAGTAAAAAAAAATACAGGTATTTGATCATAACTACATTAAAACAGTAATATTGTTTCTTTGATTAATAGAAAGTTCTAAAGAACAATTTAATGCACGTTTGCTGAATATAAGTATTCATTTCTTTCAGTGCTGGAATTCTAATATCTTTGGAACCATCCAGATTAAAATAAGTCAGCAAGAACCATTCTGAAGTACTGGGTGGAAAGTCTTTGATGTGGATTTATTACAGCAATGTCAATACATTAGACATACTTAAATAAGTGCAGCCATTTGATTTATGACAGAATAACACTAGAATAATATGTTAATGGAACTTTTTGTCAGAGTGAAGCCAATATGTTTGATATGGCATTACATGAGCTAACAGACATGCACAGTACCGGGGAGGAGCGAGGGTGGTCTCCAGGAACTCTTCGATCTTAATGAAGTCAGTCTTCAGTGTGCCATTGTACAGGAGGAAAGGAGGGTTGGTACCTGGAGCTAAGTCTTTGAGCTCTTCTGGCTTCCTAAACAACACAGGGTGGAGCAAAGCAGAGGGAGTGTAAGCCACAGGGTGCGGACATGGTCAATATGAAGTCATTTATTGTATATGGAGAGTCTTTGAATGACACCTAAAGTGATTAATGCTGCTTTAAAATATTAATCTCAATATTAACCACAATTTAATCACTCAAAGCACACGGATATGAGAGTGTCCAGCTGGTAAATGGGTGAAAGCTGCATTTGCTTTAGAAGATTTAGTTGGGAACAGTGCAATTGGAGAGTTTTCACTGCCTTGATCATGTTTGTTGTACATTGACCGCCCCCACCCCCAGTGTTATCAAATTCAGTCCGGTGCTGGCCCACAGTTCCTCAGATTTCTCTATTTGTCTATTGAATTCCATTCCATTAGATAGCCTTATCGTCGTTTCAGAGATATGAAAGCTTAATTTGACACTCACTTCCTCATGTCAACAGTGGTTACTGTGAACCTGACTCCTTTCAGCCAAAGAACCATGAAGAGTCTCTGACAGAAGGGACAGTTCCCCACATTCTCTCCATCATGACCAGCCTTGAGTTGAAAAAACAAACAAACAGAGAAATCCATGGTAAGTATCACATAAGCACAGACTAGACACTAAGTCACATACTCGTAGACAGAGAAGCACACACTGTAGATTTCCTTAACCCTCATGTTCTGTTAAGATTGACTGTACTGTTTTTTATGCTTGGAATCCAAGAGACTCATAAAAATATTAATAATCCAGTTGAAATTCATCTTTATTTTCCCTTTTAAAAAATTTCTTGTGTTTTTTTTTCTGATTTAGATCATCCAAAAAATTAAGTCTGTTGTCATTTATTAACCCTCATGTCATTTCAAACCTATTTTTCTTTAAGATTTTCTTTCTTCTGTGGAACATAAAAAATATGTTAGGTGTACAAGAAGAATGTATCAGTGTAAATAAACTTTAAAAAGTCAGTGGGGTTCAGTGTTGCTTCAGTGTGCTGATTTGGCACTCACAAAAAGTTTATTAGTATCAATTCTGAAAACAGATGTGCTGCTGCTTAATATTTTTGTAGAAACAGGATTCTTTAATGAATAGAAAGTTTAAAATAACAGCATTAAACATTATAAATATCTTTACTGTCACTTTTAATCAATGTAATACATCCTGTCTAAATAAAAGTATTAATTTCCTTCAAGAAAAAAAATAGCTAACCCCAAACTTTTAAACAGTACTTTATACAAGTGATTTGCTTTCTCCACAACTTTCCATGTATCCAGGTATGTTAAACTGTTTTGAGAAAAAAATCTGAAGAAAGACAGAAAGTTATTGGCAGGTACTGGATTCCAGCCGGGACATTATCCGGGCATTAAGTTTAAGGTCATTTCCTTTAACCCTAAAACACAACACAATGCAATTCATCATTTAAAATACCGGTAAAAAAACTGAGAAAAATCAATACAGATTTTTACATTTTTTTAATTTTTTAGAATGTAGCATAAGGAAACAGCATTTGTGTTTACATAATGTTTCAGACTGCTGCTTTTTTGAACAAACCATTTTCTTAAATGTACGTAAATGTAGTCAGTATGTGCTTAAGATATTTTAGCACAATTGGGGTCTCTGAGACCCCCAGCAGTCTGTTATTATTGATGGATAGCTTTTATTTTTTAACTAAATGTGTCCCTCCCTTCAAAAAGAATAGGACATAAATAGTCCATGTATTGTGTGGGTGTGGGTGGACAATTCAAGAGCTTGATCCAAATAGAGGAAAAGCAGGAATTGTCTAGAAGACGGAGATAACAGATCTGCACAATGCTTCTATCGCCCATGATGCACATCTTTTCAAATAAGAACATAAACAAGTGAATTATAAATAACTTGGTGACCATCTAGAAAGCTTTGATGATCTTTGGGATCTAAAGGTCACCACTCATCCATATCCTACTCATTTAGTTCATGAATTGTATCTAGACTGGTAAAGCATGGTAATGGGATCTACAGTATAGGAAATGTATAAGCATGTTTATGGGTGTGAAGACAGGGAGCCAAGAACTGCCAGTCTTTCTGTGTGTGTGTGTTTGTTGATAAGATGACCTCAGTCCTGTCTGTATGTCAGATAAAGAGCAGTGTAAGAGAGAACAGTTATATATCAACCATACTATCCAATTTTCAGTAGTACATGTGTTAACTGAGTTGACGGTGACGCCCATGTCAACCTCTGATTCATGGTGCCCAAACGAAAACCTTCCCTAACAGAAAGCACTGATAAGAGTGTAAATCTACCATTAATCCAATTTTGCCAAATGGCTCAAGAAGTCACAAGCAATTTTTTTTATTTAGTCTATAAGAGTGTGAATTATTTTTCCCTTTGTCAATCAGAAATAAATTACACTGATATCATAAGTGGATAATAAGAGGCGAGATGTACATAAACTATTTTATTAACTACAACCATTCAATAAAAAGTTAGTATAATTCAGTGAGTTTAACATCATTATTCCAACAATAAGGATTACATAATAACAGACCTAATCACAGTTGACACATGCTCTGTTGACACGTCCCCACCTCAATATTCAGATTACTGGATGATGTAAATGGTTGATTTTTAAATTCTTTTTATTATAAATAAATGATATTTATTTTTATTTTCAAAATAGATTTATTAAATATATTATAGCTATTATTTTACATTTATATAGTATTGTTTTATATTTATATAATAGTTATATTTAATATAATTTGAATTTGAATATTATTTTAATTTGGAATAACAGTATCTGACCAACTAAAACTAAAGTTTAACAACTGACCTTTATGAAGAGCTCAATTCGTGGTTCTTTATCTGAGTCTTGTCTGAGTGCCATTTTCTTCTGCAGGAAAACGACTTTAGTTAGTCCAGACCTCCGTGAAAAGTATTCCACAAATTACCAGAGAGTTGAAGATCCCCCAAAAGATTGGTAAGCAGCTGTAATGTGTGAAAGTTAGTCAGACTCTTGCTGTTTGCTGTCTCCCTCCGGCTACAGACTTTAAAAGTCAGGAGGGAGGGAGGCTAGAGAGGATGGGCGTGACCGCAGCTATATAACTCTGCTGCCAGAATGTGACAGAGAGCTCAAAAATAGCTTTTCATTTTATCCAACATGCATTTACACTCCATCACAGTGTTATCTCAGACGTGAAGCAGGGGCCACATTCCATTCATGTAGACTATTAACACTTAACACAGACGTGTGTTTCTGCTGGAACTGAACTAACATTCCTCCCTCCCATATGTTCAATCACAATGTGCTTCTTTCAGCAGTGTAATGTAGGGGCTGTTTAATATAAATCAGTTGATCCACTTTAAATTTCACTTTAAAGAAAACGTATAATTGCTTTCAGATGTCAGACCACAGAGCGATGCCACATTCTCTTCCCCTTGTTTGAAAGTTCAGTTCATTTGATTCTGACTCATACTATTCTTTCATATTATCTTCTTCTATGGAATTTTTCTAACTTCCAGTAACCCCTGGTAAAACTTTCAGAAACAACCAGATTTCACTTTTGAAATCAGTTGAGACACAGGAGACCGTGTGGGAGAACTCAAAATGTAAGCTACATCCCTTGGGGAACATTCGGGGACGTCACATATATATATATATATATATATATATATATATATATGCAGTTTTCTGTGGTTGTATTGTGTACGG